CGGCTCCGCCCCGGCCCCGGCCCCGGCCCCGCCCCCGGGGCGGGAACAAAGGGCCGTGCGCCCCTCCTCTGTGCCGCCGGCTTTCCGGACTCCGCCTTGCAGACCGCGGTTCCTTTGGGTTTGGGATCCTGTTTCCTGCAGCTTGCACGTGTGCTGCTGGGTCTTACCGCCGTCCCGCCCTGCAGCCGCCTGTCCTCTCTGTGGGAATCTGCCCGGGGTCTCTGGGAAGGGTGACAAGGAGGGCGCCAGAGGGAAGGGGTCCGTCGGTGGTTGTGCACAGCCGAACTGGCTGGGGTTCTTCAACTTAGCAGACTGCGAGGTGGAGCCTCGCGGGCACCCCTTAAGGTTTGGGGCCCTCTGAGCTTGCTGCTACCCAGTCGGCAGCTGAGCGCATAAACCTCACCCGCGGGGTGGGAAAAACCAGCGCCACCCACTGTTGCAGAGGGTCCCGGCGAGATGCTCCGAGGGAGTTACCCCGGAGGTCGAGAAGTTGGCCAGGTGTCTTTGCAGACGGATATGAAAAACAGACAGACCCTTTTCCAGGGGTACCAGGGTCCAGCAAGGAGGGGTTGGACGAAGGCTCCAGAGGGAATGTGGCTCCCTCCCCAGCAGTCGCCGCCGCCACCACTGTGCGGTCACTCTCTACTATTACCCCCACCCAGGGGAAACTTTGATGAGATTGAAAATCAGAGTCTTATCATTTATGCTTGGATGTGGTTTCTCTGGGATGAGGAAGGGAGACTTACTGTTTTTCTAAGAATATATCTATCAAAAAAAAAAAAGTATATTTATCTGGGCTGGCGAGACAGCTCTGAAGGTAAGGGTGTTAGTGCCAAACATGATAACTCGAGTTTAAGCCCTAGGACCCGTACGGTGGAAGGACTGAAGTGACACCTGCAAATTGTCCTCTGACCTCCACACAAGTATGGTGGCACACTTGTGCCCACCCCATGAATAACTTTGTGTGTGTGTGTGTGTGTGTGTGTGTGTGTGTGTGTGTGTGTGTGTGTGTGTTAAAGAATATAGTTATTAGCTGGGCGGTGGTGGAGCACACCTTTAATTCCAGCACTTAGGAGGCAGAGACAGGCGGTTCTCTGATTTCGAGGCCAGCCTGGTCTACAGAGCGAGTTCCAGAACAGGTAAGGCTGCACAGAAAACACCCTGTCTTAAAAAACAACCAACCTCCGGGCAGTGGTAGTGCCCGCCTTTAATCCCAGCACTTGGGAGGCAGAGACAGGCTGATCTATGTGAGTTCAAAGCCATCCTAGTCTACAGAGCTAGTTCCAGGACAGACAGGGCTACACAGAGAATCCCTTTCTCGAAAAACAAAGAAACAAAACCCCCAAGAAACAAACACAAACAATCCCCCAAAACCAACCAACTATAGTTGCACCAGGCAGACGTATTTCTGCTCTCTCTGTTTTGTTCCTAGAATCCAGCCACCCTGCTTGGTTCATCTAAGGTGGTTAATAAAAGGATTACATCATAGTGGTCTGCAGATGACTGCTGGGAACCTGTGCGTGTCAGGCACTCTTACCCCGTAGCTGGAGCCGCATCCATAGCCCTAGCCAGAGACTTCAGGAGGAAGACAGCATCCAATCGCACCGGAAAAGACAGTTCCTCAAGACACTTTCCAGCCTTCAGATTCGCAGGAGACAATATGAATTCATTTCCAGCGAGTTTCCAAAGACCTGTAATGCCCTGCACCCAGAACTGGCCTCGGTGTCTCCTGGCAATTTTGCATACATACTTTTTACTCATACTTATTTTAATAATTATTATTGATACTGGTTTCTTGATGGTAACAGAAAAACGAGTCAAAGGGGGATGGGGGTGGGGACATAGCCCTGACACAGTGTTGAAGACAAACACGGAGAATGGAGCTCTAAGGAGCAGTGCATTTTGCCTGTTAGGGCTGAGATGGAAGAAGAGGAGGCATTTCAAGGAAAGAAAGGACTGCACCAGGATTGGCACATGAGAGTGCTGGCACACTATGGGACACACAGATAGACCCCTTTGGCTGGAAGGAGGAGGCAGAGCCTCCATGGAGTTTCTCAGCTTAGACTCTGGGGTCCTTGTAATTAACAACCAATATTTTGTTTCTTTTCTGTGACAAAATTGCATGTTTTTTTTTGTTTTGTTTTTTTGTTTTTGTTTTTTTTTTTTGGTTTTTTGAGACAGGGTTTCTCTGTGGCTTTGGAGGCTGTCCTGGAACTCGCTCTTGGAGACCAGGCTGGTCTCGAACTCACAGAGATCCACCTGCCTCTGACTCCCGAGTGCTGGGATTAAAGGCGTGCGCCACCAAGGCCCGGCTAGCAGAATGGCCTGCCTCTGACTCCCGAGTGCTGGGATTAAAGGCATGCGCCACCAAGGCCCGGCTAGCAGAATTGTATGTTTAAAGAAACCCAGGCAGAAAGTATTTTTTTAATGGCACTGTGATATCTTAAGGGTGTTATAAGGCAAGAAAGGAAAGCATTTAGTAATAAAATAATAAATGTGAATAGATCAGTGTGAGTCACATGCTCAGCCCCTCTATAAAACCACAGTTGCAAACACACAACAGAGGCACCAAAGCTAACTCTTAAAGGCCACTAGTGTGTCTTGGTGTTATGCTATTCTGAAATGGAGACCAAGACTTGGCGAAACTCCAAATGACAGTGCAGCTGTCGCTCTGCAGACAGTCCTGAGTTGCTGGAAAATGCTGTGTATATATAAACCTTACAAATGACACATTGTGTCTGCGTGTCAAGTGGACTTACAGCCCAGGCTCAGAAAACTATCACCAGGGTTTTTTTTGTTTTTTTTTTTTTGTTTTTTTGTTTTTTTACAAAAAAATAGTTGGTTTTATTTGTTGGGGAATATTATTTTAAGGTGTGTTGACTTTTGTTTTATGTTGCCTTTGTTTAACTCTGTGAAGCTGTGTTACTTTGCCTGTCTAAAACACTTGGTGGTCCTAATAAAGAGCTGGATGCTGGTTGGAGGGCCCCTTAAAAATATAAAAGATCAAAACAATACTTTATCTATCTATCTATTTATTTATTTAATTACTTGGGTTTTTTGAGGTTTCTCTGTGGCTTTGGAGGCTGTTCTAGAACTAGCTCTTGTAGACCAGGCTGGTCTCAAATTCACAGAAATCAGCCTGCCTCTGCCTCTGCCTCCTGAGTGCTGGAATTAAAGGTGTGCACCACCACCACTCAGGGCATCCAGTGCTCTTAACCACTGACCCATTTCTCCAGCCCCTGAGAAACTCATCTTTATGGTAAGACACCTTCTACAAGAATAGGGACATATTGGATGTTTTCAGCAATTCATATGTCATAAATCATAAAATTATGATTCTTTGAATTAGGATCAAAGTATCTGTGTGACTTGTACATAATAAATCTTTAAAAAAAGTAGGTTCAATAATTTATCCTTTTCTCCTCTTTTTTTTTTTTCCAAAAAAGATCCCTGAATCTAACCTCCTTTGCTTAGTTACTTCCCTGATCATGACCAATAACAACTTGCTACCAAGCCCCCTAAACATTGACAAACATCCACTCAATGATCAGAAACCAACTGTTAGACCCCCGAAAACTCAAGTATCCGGGGTCCCAGGCCACGTTCACGGTCACCCCAATCACCAGGCGGATTCGAAAGCTTGCTGCAAACTGCATGAGGCTTTATTGTAATTTAACGAACTAACCCCATGTTAGCTCGGGTCTTTGATCCACCCACCATGGCGGATGGCTAGCAAAGATGGCTCCTAGGGGCTCCCGAAAGATCTTATAGGGCAGCGTAAGGGGAATGTCTAGGGGTACGCACAGGCTCACAATTGGTGTGCCTCCAGGCTTGGAGGGCTTGCCCTGTGTTGATTGGTCAACTGGTTGTTATGGCCCACAGGCCCTCCCAGGGTGGTTGCTATGCTCTTTACATCATTACTGTGCACTTGTCCATAAAGCACACCCAGGGTCGTAAAGCATAGCGCCACCAGCTAACTTCTGATTGGTTTCTTGTCACGAGACAGGCATCTGACTTTCTAGTGTCTAGAACAAGGTCATAGAAGCACAGGTTCGACCATTATGACTGCCGAAAGGGAAGCTGGTCCCTTCACACCCACCCCACCTCTTGGGAAATGTGGGTGCTGTGTTCTCTGGACTGCTTCCTGTGGTCTGGGGGAAATGGCATCTCTAGGGGACTCTTAGAAAACTGGGGTAATTGTCAAGTCCTGGAGAGCTAGCTGTATTATTATTTTTTGTAGTCTCTTGTGATGGAGAAAGTGGAGTGCTTATCTGAAGCCTTGGCTGGGTAGTATGTGAGGCTGGACCATCTCAGCCAGCAGCTTTGAAGTTGTTCTGGATGTAGATTTTTGAGGACCAATCCTTTTGTTCTGAAAACATACAAACCTTTTTTTTTTTTTCTTTTTCTTTCTTTTTTTTTTTTTTTTTTTTTTTTTTTCTTTTTTTTTTTTTTTTTTTTTTTTTTTCTTTTTTTTTTTTTTTTTTTTTTTTTTTTGGTTTTTTGAGACAGGGTTTCTCTGTGTAGCTTTGAAGCCTGTCCTGGAACTAGCTCTTGTAGATCAGGCTGGTCTTGAACTCACAGAGTTCAAGCTTCTGCATTTACTACCCCAGCTCTGAGAAGTTACTGAGCCCACTTTCCGGAGTCCCTGCAAGTGGCAGTTGATTGTTCAAAGTGCTTGTAGAGGGGCCCAGGCTGTTGAATGATATTTTAATTGCATTCTGATGCTCCCGAGACTGTCAATAAAATTTTCTTTGAATCAGAGGCTCGAGGTAGCTACTAGCTGACAAAAATGAACCATAGAGGTTTTGGAGGACTGAGGACAGATAGAGAGACAGGAAGGAGTAGGATGGGGCTTAGAGAGGGTCTTGGCCATTTTTTGGATCAAGGAATGAGAGAGAGGAGGCCACTGGTCACTTCACCAACACTTCTCTGATCATCCAGGTTCTTACCCTGATATCTGACTCCCAAGTTTTTATGGATAAGGAATAAT